ATATATACGTATATATAGATATATATTTACCACCCTGATTAATACTGTGTAATCCCAGTAGGGTGTGACTCCGACACATGGAAAGGATACTTCAAGCTTTTTCTTTTTAAGTTTACTTTGGTTGTCTGTTGTCTTCTACTTGCTGTTATGTTGTCTGATCTCTGTTCCTCTAATCTCATTCAGATACAGAACCAGACTTCTAGTAGTTACTGTATATATCTTTTGTGTTGTCTGTTTTGCTGCTTTGGTTTATTTTCTCTCTTTTCATGCACTCTTTCCTGTCTCTATCTCCCTCCCTCTCTCCCCTTAGTTCTTACCCCCCCCTTCTTTCTCATCTCCTCTTAAGTGTCCTTTTTATATGGTTTACTCCCCAAATAATGTTCAATCAAGTTTGATATACAAGTATCAAGCAGAACCTTATGGCAAGAGTCATACTGTTCTGCGTGTGAAAGCAAAGCTGTATAGCTATCAGCTAGCTGTGGAAGATCAATTCCCAGAGCTATATTAGCTAAAAAAGAAAAAGGTGGAGAGAAGGATTTTGCTTCGTTTTTTCCGTTGTTACTTCTTCTCCTAGGAAAATGCCCCATATATTAAACAATGGTGGACTCAAAGCCTAAAGTCAATCTGCTTTTACAAGAATTTGATTACAAGCATTATAAAAAGGACAAACTGTTTATTTGCATTTATTACAATAATGTTTATTATTACGTATTTGTTTTTGTTAAAGAAAAAATATATGTATATAAGATCAATGGTCCAATTTATCATCCTGGTCTGTTGCAGTTATCTCGGTGGTGCCCTCTGCAGTCGTTTTGAAAGAATTGCAAATCTTATTTAATAAAACTGAATTTGCTATTGATAAATTGCCTGGCATAATTTTTTTGTGTGCAAAGAAAGGCTGTTTTGTATTTGAGAAAAAATATTTGTACTTAGAGATAGTTTGGGAAATATTTTTTTACTTTTTAGCTAGATGTTTGATTTGTGTTCAACATGTTCTACTTGTTTGCCATGTTTTGCAGGAAATTATTTTAGTATATGATAAGATAGGAGGCCGTTTCAGTTTTTTTTTTTGTTTTTTTACAGTGTTCTGAAAAGGTTTAAACCTTTTATTGTAGGCCTTTACTGAAAATTTACCTGTTTAATGTACAGGTAATATAAGGTATTCTGTGGGTCTGTGGTAGTTTGTTTGTAGTTTGTTTATGTTAATGCTATGACATCTTTTTAAAGCTTTAGAAAGAATTTTTTCCATTTACTTTACTGATTCAGTCAAAAATTGTGCAACTAAGTCATTTTAATATAGACACCTGATTAAATTAAACATAGAATTTTTATATAGTTTGCTGAATGGTCCAATAATATATTTAAAAAAATACCTGAAAAAGTCTTTTTGTGCTGATCCTAACTTTCTCTTATAAACAGGTGGTGAGCTTTGCCAGTCTAAAGTTTGACCGCTCCTACAACTGGATGGTGCTGTGTGTGCTGTGGTGCTCCATTGCTCAGTCCATTCTGCTGCCCATGTTTCTTTGGGCTTGTGACCGTTATCGGGCCGACATTCATATGGTGTGGGAGAAATGTGTCGCTATCATGTCCAATGATGAAGTGGATGAGGGTAAGTTACAGAAAGGCATCCATCTCCCTTTTATCCCACCTCCGTTTTCCCTCATTCATACCTTCCCAGTAGAAAATGTGGTAATTCATTTTTTGATGTAACTTTAGATAAATACTGAAGGAAAGCTCTTTATGTACTCTCATTATATAGAAAAATAAAGAAAATAATTTACGGTAATCTAAATAATGTATTACACATTTATTATTTTTTTTACAACTGAGGAAAAATAATTACTTTGCAAGAAAAGTCTCAGTAAAAGGTAAATCATTACTTCAATCATAATTAGAGGTGTTTAGTTTAGAAATGTTTGGATTCAAAAATTTTTACTGTTTTTAGGATCAAGATATTGAAAGTTAATTTTCCATTCAGCTAAAAAAAAAAGGCAGAATTTGAGCCCAACAGAAACATTATAGGAATTATTTCAGCTCATTAGGGGATAGTAGCATGTGTTGTTATCTCACAACCTGATGTGTAATATAATTTACCAAAACATTTGACATGTAATGCTTTCTTTTACTTTTGGTAATGATTCTTTTTAATACAATCTTTCAGTCACTTAACTCAGTTTAACCAATTAATAAATAAACAATAAAACCACTATGAATGTAATACAGTCATGGCGATGTGGTTTTTATAACCCATGTCTTTACTTCAGAAAAAATTCATATGAATATGTAAACAGAATGAAATCTGCCAAATTACTAGCAGTTTTAAAGTGCTTTCTGAACAAAGCCTTAAACCTTCAGTCATTCGGAATTCAAATTTACAAAATCTTTAGTTGTTTACTCAGTTTGGGCATTTGCTTGTCTATCCTGCTAACAAATGCCTTGCAGACAGGCTGCCTATAGACTGCCAACAGTAGTATTGAAATGGCATTTCTATAATAAGAGTAAAGGGTGAAGTTTGTTTCTACTGTAGTTCATGGCTTTTTTTTTTTTTTTTTTCAAACAGCCTTTCTTCTTTTTTCCATGGGCGTTAAAAAACGTTTGTATTACACCTTTATTTATATATTTCTGACAACTTAAGATGTAAGCAAGTAGTAGGGGAGGGGCAATACTTTGTTACCCCTCATAAGCAGAGAAAAAACAACATTTTCTTTGTTGTTTTCTATGGCATCCCATTAAAAAGGCTTAATGCCTTAGGATTTAGTATTAAGTGTCTTCTTAAGTTAAGACAAATCAAAATAAGTTTCCTTTTAATTTAGTTTTAATTTTCTATTTTCAATTGTACCAGAATCTCAAATCACAGGTCAGATGTTATCATGTGACCTTTTTTTCCCTTCTGAAATAAAAGTAAGTGTCTGTGTAATTTATATATTTTCTGCAATGTTTTTGTGTTTTGAGACTGTTTAAGATATATAGAGAAAGAGTGCCGCACAAAATATATTTGTATGTCTTTTTACTTATGGTTTAAACAGGGCCGTCGTTTCATTGAACAATCTCTCTTGAGGGAACAATCTAATAAATGGTTCCTCATTCGTTTGACAGCTTTAAGTGAATCTGTTAAAATGCATATTTATGTCATTTTGATGGTCATATTTCCCTCAAGTCAGGAAAAATAATTGGATTGAATAGAAATATAAAATACACTTCATCTTTTTTGGGGGGTTTGTTTATATTTTTGTTTTGGTTGTTTCTTTGGTTTACATTTTCTCTCTCTGATTTGTGAAAAAGGGAGTCACCTACTGACTGAAGTAAATCAGATGGACTTGTTAGACAATGTTAAGATAGTTAAATGTGGAAAGGTCTGATAAAGACAGAGTTGCATATTTTTCCATTTAGGTACTGTACAAGCATTTAATGTGGTTCAATATAGTTAGACTAAATTTCATTTATTCAGTTCAATTCCATCAATACTAATTCTATTTATTTCAGTTTGACTCAGTTGAATTCAGTTTTACTTGAACTTAATACTTGAACTAAATTTGACATTTTAGGGTAGCTCTTGTATAGGATGAAACCTCCTAAAGCAGCTATTTTCCCACCAATTAAAGACAGACACTATACCACAGTCTAGTCCTAAATGTGAGGTCACATGATAATCATGCATCAGAAAGAAACTTAGCAGAGATTTTTTCCCTTCTTTCAACCTAATGACGTCATGCTTTAAACTCACCCCTATATCAACCCCTCCTGCCCTGTGTCTAACCCTCAAGACCTTTTCATCATTTTCCTCTTTTGGCATCCTTCCTTAGAAAAGAAAACTGTCCAGAGGGTCCCATTAAAGACAAGGCACTTCATATTTCTTGTGACAAAAAACACACTCAATTATTGTGTTTTTTTTTTTTCAGAGGGCTTGCCTTGTATATCTCATCACAGTTGTATGTATAAGAATTGTTTGCTGTTTTCCAAAGCTACTAACTTTGCATGGAAAGCTGCCTGTGCAGATCGCTACATTCATCCTCCATCCATTTGGCCAACATTTATCCTTAAGGCCATTATATCATCTTCAATTGATCTTTGGTGGACATTCAAAGTTTATTTGGATTAAAATAATGGATAAAACAAAACTAATGTAACAATTTGAATTCTGCTTTAGCAACAGAAAAAGTTTTTTTTTTTTAAATATCCAATTGTTTTGTTATTTCTGCTTGGTTTCTCTTTTCTTTTTTTTTTTGGCTTGTAGCTTATTTTACTGAGCATACACAAAGCAAAGTCGACAAATCAGAGAACGATTGAACTTGTTTCTCCTATCTATTCGTCTGTCTGTCTGTCTGTCTTGTGTATGGAGTCCGTTGCTCTCTAATACTGACGCTCGTGCTTTTCTGCACTTTGCAGAAAACAGCCAAGATGGAGGAATTCATGCCGACTTAATATATGACAGACCATATGACTATAGCTCGGCGCCTGAAATCGTGACGATAGACCGTAATGCCAAGTTTGAGTTCTCAACCTTAGAAAGGGGGGTTCTGCAAGGGTATCCATTGAGGGAACAACAGGAAGATAAAATGCAGTATTTGCAGGTATATTTGATTTTCTTCATTTCTTTTTTTCCATCAGTTGAATTAATTTAACTTTATTATTAAATGCATGGTGAAGTGGCCTTGTATGCCTTTGCAGCATTGAATCAGTAAAAGTTGTGTGATGCCATCTATCTGATTTGCAACACTCTTCTTTTTGGCCTTTTATTTATTTATTTATTTTTTTTCTTAGTATAAATCTGAAAAAAAACTGACTAATGTTTGGTAAATATGACCATCAACAGTCCCATCAACATATTACCTGTGCTTCATTTATCAAGTAGCTTGTCTTAGTCATGAACTTACAAACAACTAAGTGCCTTGGTATTTTGTTAGAGAGTAACAATCTAGTAACTGGCTTACCTTCTACGTTTCAGGATTTTCCTCAAGGCTTAAGGGAGGCAATATAAATGTCCGTTCTTGTTCTGCAAAAAAAGAAAAGCATTTTGTCTATTTGATCTAGCTTCCATCTCATTCAGATGGAGAGTTCTGAAAAACTCATTTTCAGCCTGCATCAACAACAAAGCTGGAGCTTGCAGCCTTCCAGGGCAGTTCAACAAATTTAGCATCAAAACTTCCTCTTTGATTATAATACTGACTAATTTCTGAAAATGACAAAGTTCTGCTCTCTCTGATTTCTTGTTGCTTTGAAGTTTATTAAATAATAGAAGTAAGATTAGTTTGAACTGTCCTTGAAGACTATGTTGAGAATATGTAATGTCAAAATCAGCAAGTCCCAACCATTCAATATTACCTTTAACAAAGCAACTGACTGTGTCATCTTTGTGTTTTAGAGTGAAAAAAGTAAAAAACAAACAAAAAAAAAAGTAGCATAAGGGCCATTCTATAACTGGAAAGCATTTTTCTTTAAATTGGCCCAGCAATTTCAGGAAAAATATATATTTTAAAATTAACTTTGGTTAATAAGTTAACAAACAGAGATGTATACAGTAGCCATCACTGCATTATACCAACTTGGTCCTCTGTCTGCTGCGTTTGTGTTTGGTCCTCATCAGTAGATGTGTTTTGTTAGACTGTGTTAATCCTTGTTTGTGATTTTAAAAAGTGATTCATCATTGCTTTAGTTATTGTAAAACAGATTTTTTTTGGCTTAGTTCCTGAAGTAGACCATTTGAATTTGACATTTAGCTACAGACCATACAAACCTAATCTTAATCAAAGGTAGCCTGGACTTCACAACTGCAAGGTCTCTTATTGCAGAATAAAGCCTCTTTGGCTTTATTTGCTCTGTGTTCGTGTCTCCCTGTCTCTCCTGCATCTCCACTCATTCTACAGCTTGTGCTGCCCTCTGCTTTCCAGCTCTCCCACCCTTAGAGTTTAATGCTACTGTATCGTCTGCTGTTTAATTCTCTGCATTTACTGAAAGACACCACAGGAGGGCAGACTGATATCAGTCTTGAGGCTCTTGACGTGATCCTGACAAACCCACTGTCTTTGAGTAGTTGTGAAAACACAATGTGAGTATAACAAGTAGGAAACTATCAACCTTTATAGATAAGATTATACTGATAGAATAACTCTATGCTAAAATCTAACCTCAAATTAGAAGAAACGGCTTGAAGTTGCTACATGTGGGATATAATCTGAGTCAGGCTTCAATAAACAATGTAAGTTGTTTGACTTTTCCTTCACTGACCACATTAAACAACCTGTAAAATTTGACTTATAGACACAATCTAGTTTAATCTAACCTTTACATAAAACTGGCAAATCCTACATGTATTAATCTTTATTGATAATGATACTCTGCATGTTTACCATATTTTGTAAAGCTAGTTGATTGTTTTATGCGTTAAATTAAGGATTTTTAATATGAAGATTTTGTTTTGTGTCTTTTCCCTAGGTGCCCCCTACAAGAAGATACTCCCACGACGAAACAGACATGTGGATCAGCGACCAGATCCCCTCATACCTGCACCGATGGGGCTCCACAGAGGACGTGATAGTGACTGCCCACTACAGCTCCACCTTGCCGCGCCGCGAGAGGCGCAGGAGCAGCCTGGTGTCCTACCACGAGGAGAGCCACTATCATCACCACCCTCACCGCAAGCGGCGGCGATCTGAGGACAGCATGCATTCCCTCAAGCACTTGCCCCGCATCGTGTGCGGTGGGGAGCGCTATGAGGACGAACTTCGGTGCTTCAGCCGAGACGAGGTGATTAACTTTATAGACGAGACTCCTGTGCCAAGCCCCAGGAAGAGCCCACGCCGTACCTCCACCATCTCCCTCATCCCCCTCATCCCCAACGTGTACGAACAGAACGCCGTCATTCTTCCCCACTTTCCACTTACAGACTTTGAGCGAGAGCCACAGGTGCTCAGGAGAACTTCTGAACACAAACGGCTCGGCAGCAGGGGCAGCTCACCAGAGGGCTCCCCGAAACCGGAGAGGTCTCCCGGTAAGACGAGCCATGGGGCTTGTGGCTCAGGGAAAGGCTGCAGTAAAAATCTTCGTGATGGGAGACAACAAGAAGGAGGGGGTTCACCTGGTCATAGGGAGAGGACTGCGGGGCATTCGAGCAGCAGGCCCAGGACAGGTGGAGGTGTCCAACCCAAAGCTGGAGCTGACTGGGTGAAACAGAAGCACCTCAGCAATGCTGAGAATAAAGCCAGCATAAACAGTTTTGTAAGCAAACCCTCAGCATCATCCTCGGGATACATCACATTTCACTCTGATTCTGTTGGCTCCTCCACCTGAAAGCAAACATCTACATTGATATAAATACTAGGATCAAATATTTAATTAAAAAACTTTCTGGTTTAAGAAAGGTTTCATGCTGAAACATATCAGCCTTTTTATTTGTACAAGTATTCAATTTTATTACCTACCAGAGATAAACATTTGCTATCCTAAATGGCCTTAGGAGCTTTGGACCTGTTTTTTTTTTGACTGGGCCTTGTTTTCTTGTGTGGGCCGGTGACAATATAAGTCAACCCAGCTATTTGTCTGTCACAACGCAAAATCTCCACTGAGGAACACTTTTCTGCCAGTACTTACTCAAATAAACTGTTTTTAATCTGTGTGATCATTCCCAAACCTTTGTTTTTGTTGTTTGGTTCTTATAGGAGGGTGAAATATTTCCATGTGCATTGACAAGGATGTTTTAGGAATTCTTTTGTTTTCATTTATACCTTGAGCTTGAGTTTTATTTGGCCTGTAACAACCCTTGTGTTTTTGTTGTGTGGTATGGACACAGACTTTCTTAAATACAACATATTTTATTTTAGCTTTGCTTGATTGCTGAAATATTTATTTTTATTGTTTGTTTTGTTTTTTGTTATCATAACATGAAACTTTTTAGCAAACATTTTTCCCATAAAATGGAAAATGTGTTTATTTTTTCTCCCACACTATTGATTGCCCAGTAATGGTTTCTCTCAACTACTAAGAAAATAAAGACCCTTCCTTTATATATAAAAAAATATTTTTAAAAATAGAATCCAGATGTATATATATGAAATAATTGGACATTTATGTTTTTAGAAATTTCTGTTTACGTATCACATTTACTCTCTAAGGCTGACCTTACTTGACTTTGATGATAATGAGGCACAAATGTAGCTCATTACATAACAAACAGCTTTTAAGACAAATATGCAAATTGTGATTTTTACTCCCCTGTTGGTCCTCAAAACCCTTAACCTCACACTTGCTGTGATTCAGATGTACATTGAAATTAGTAAACGCTTTTAAATTAACAAACTAAAACACACTAATTGGAAAGCGATAATTTGAACTAAACTTTACACCATTAAAAAATACATTAGAATATCAATAGACCTAGTCTGGAGGGTTTTCTCCATCCGATGTGCTGTTTGATGAATTTATCTGTTTGAACTTCACAACAAAACAGTGAACATTAAAGTGGAGTATAACCCTACTGTGTGCCTTATAAATGTTGATATCATCCTGGAGATTTCTCCCATTTGATCTTGTTTTAACCACACAACTCAGTCTATTATATTGTTTTATATTAGAGCAATTCAAAGGTCATACTTAGTAAGTGGAAAGGAAATAAAATTTACATTTGTATATTTCATGTCCCTGTTTCCATATTATGTGGAGTAGCATTTTTTTTTTTTTTGACAAAAATAAATCTTCTCCCACTCTTTGATCAAGCTAAGTTAAATTGGACAGGTAAGCATAAATGAAGTGTCTTTCCAAATCCTTGTTGGATCGAATGCTTTGTTGCTCTGACTATATGTTTAGCGTCACTAAGCTTCTTGAAGATGTGCATCCCACCCCACTCCAAAGTATTTCTCAGTCTCTTAAGATCTTATTCCGGGCTCCCTTTGATTTGGCACCATTCAGGTTTCCATCTATTCAGACCAGTTTCTCTGGCTTTGAGCTAGAACATTCCCACTGCAGATGCTGCCAACATACTGTTTTACTGTGGTGGTGTGTTCAGGGTTATAAGCTGCGTTAATTTTCTAACAACAACAAACAAACTAATTTGATCCCATCTAACCAGAGCACCTTCTTCTGTGTGTTTTCTACATCCAGAAAAAAAGACCTATTTTACCTTTTTTTTAAACAGCTGTGTTGTTCTTGTCACTCTGCTATCTTTTTCTATTGGCACTTGGTCAGACAAGATTTTTTTTCCTATGGAATCAGAGTAAAACCAACTGGAAAACGGCTGATATTTAGCTGCTTTTCATTACACAACACATTGAAAAAGAAAAAAAGCAAATCTATCTCCTTCCACTTAACATTTATGCCCTTCTTTGTGTTGTTCTGGCTCACAAACTTACCTAAATAACAAACAAACACACACATCTGTGGTTCTAACACATCAAAGGATGAAATAGGAGAAATTATTTTACAAGGCAATTTAAGGCCTGCATTTAATTTATTATAAATTCAAATTTTTATTGTGGTTTACTTTTGCTGAATTGCAAAAATATTTAAAGACGTTTTATCACATTAGCACCCTCACTGAAAACTGACCATGTGCAGCTTCCCAGTTAAATCCACAAGCAAAATGTAAGTCTCTTCCAAAGTTATAATTATAGGAATAATTATGAAGGATACTGACAGTAAATAGAGGACGCAGTTGGGAGCATTGAGTGCTTGTGGATAGTATTTGTGAATGTGAATGTATTTTCACTAATAAATTTCAGCTTTTTTAAAAGGCATGAGAAAAAACTGAAATGGTTCCCCGTCACTCCTTTATTTGTTAAGAAATAGTTTTTTCCCCATCTACGTTCAAAAGTAAAAAGGTAGCATTTACTGGGCATTTATGCTTTGAGTCATAGAGCCTTCTTTTAGCTGTTTCATTCAAATTTTATGTGTTCCTGGTTTTCCTAAAAATGTCAGAATATTTGGTTAAAATGTTTTGCTTAATTTTTTTTTTTTTAAGCAAATCACCTCGCACAAATGTTGCTATGCTATAGCTATATATATTTTTTATTTTGTTGTATTTGAAATATTTTTGTGACATATTCAAAAGTTCATTACTCAAATATGAATGACGTTAAATGTTAAATGAGTTTTTCTGTTAAGCTAAAGACTTTGTTAACATGATATGATTAAACTCACGTAAAAAGAAGAAAATGTGTTCAAAATCTTTCTGGTGTTTTTTTCATTTAGTATAGTTGGAAAATGTAAGTCTAATGAGCTAGGTATAGGAAATGTTTTCCCAATGCTGGAAATAATAAGTTTTTTTGCTATATCTGCTCTTTCAGTGAAAAAAAGCTAATCTGGTCAGGAAGCAGGCTGAAATACCCCCATATACATGAAAACAATCTTTTCATACAGTAAAGAGAGAACTGTAAAACCATAAGAATGTTTACAGTTTGGAAGGAGGTCTTTACTTTATACTTTTCTCTTTTCAACATTAAACTATCTGCTCATGTTGCATGAAAGCTTTTTTCTCCTTTTAATTTGACCCAAGAATATCTGTGGATTGGTGGTTAAGTCTATAATTTTCCACAGCTCCGCAACAAGCCCAAATTATGCTATATCCAACACCATGCTCGGTAGTTTGTACGAGAGGTTTGTTTTTCATAAACAGTTTGTATTTTATGAAATGTTATGCTGTGAACTACCCAGTCTAAAGGGGCATTTTCCCAAATGTTTTTGGTTGATTAAAATTTACCTTTCTAAACCGATGACATTTCAACATGTTTCTGAAAGGGGCGGTATCAATGGTTGTCTTTGTTAAAGTTTTTTCCATCCTGATACTATTTCAATCTGAAAAACTCACACGGAAAGAAAAAGACAATTAGAAGAGTTTTAGAGTTTTAAGATGAACTCTGGATGCTGATTGGGCTTTTGTGAAGGTGTGGTTCAAAGCTGATTGGCCTGTGATGGAGGCGGGTGAGGGTAAGTAATCAGTTGAACTTTTGCCTAGGCTTCATTTAGCATTGTTGTTATAGAGGACCGTATTTATTTCATGCATGAATATTGGTGATCGTACTCAGGAATGTTTCCTTGTTTATTCTCAAAAATCTTTATCGATTTAAAATAAGGGAATTTTTCACAAACAGGTACAAGTGGTGAAAAGGTCAGCTCTCCTTATACTCTCTGCAGTCCTGATTGTTGCATTCTGGACCTATGCACTTTGTTAAAAGGACAAACCACAAATGAATGAGATGAATGTGGATAAAGCAGATTGAATAATGGTAGTGTAGAAGAAGAGCAGCAGCTCAACTAGGGGGTGGACTTCTTTAGTTACAGCAGGAAGGACCATCTTTGGCAGCCCTTTTCCCAAACAGGTTTGTGTGTGTGAGGACAATTTCAGGTCTGGAGAAACGATGGTCATAAGGAACCAGACCCGATTCACAGTAGACAGTATTGTTAAGGATGATGAAGGGATATTTTCTCCAAATGTCCATCATCGTCTCCATATTCTTGAGCAGGTAAAACTTCAGGTGGTTGTGCTTAAATTAGTGGAACTGGTTTTCCAGCAGATTCCGCGTTGTTCTGAATCAAAGCAATGACAGTGGTTTCATCTACAAAACTCAGGAATTTCAAAGACAAGTCAGTGGGTTCAGCATAGAAAAGTTAATAGCGCGAGACCACTGTTGTGAGAAGCATGGTGCTATTTGTTCTTCTAGTACAAGAGAAGATGCTCCCCAGCTTCATCCGCTGCTCAAATCCACAAAGAGGATCCTGCTCTACATCCCTTGATGGATAATGTGATTGGGGATTGGAAGCAATCAGCAGTTGACTCAACTGCAGGCCTATTTGCCCAGTAAGAAACTGCATAGGGTTCAATGGGGGAACGATGACCTTATGATGCTTCAACAACAATAGTTAACAAAGACGACAGAGTAACAGGTCAGTAGTCAATTTATTGTTGTGACTGTGCATTTCTTTGGACACCTGTAGAAGGCTTGGAGCAGGAGTGATCCTCACACAGCACCCTTAAATTTCCTGAAGATCTCTTTGAGCTTTGTTCTGCATAAAACGTAAATAAATCAACCACCTTCATAGATCATTACGTAGGTTCTGTGCCTCTCCATTCCTCATCCAGACAATGGGAAAAAAATGTCTACATCAGTCCTTAAAACTCTCCTTCACCCACCAAGGGCGGTCTCCCATTTTTCCTCGCTCAGGTTATCTGCCAGAAGCATGGGAGCTTGAGGGTTATTTGCTGTTCCTAGAACTGCACTTTTCTAGACCGAGATGTCTGATGTATTTCCAGGTATCTGCTGTAATCACTCTTCAAGTTTGGGGGTCACTGCCCTGGGTGCCCCAATGACCATGGGCACCACTGATACCTTGACCTTCCAGGTTATCTCCAGCTCTTCTCTGAGCCCCTGGTATTTCCTGATGTTGCAGTCACTTGGTATTGCTAGGTCAACCACAGTAGCTTTCCTCTGCTTTTTGTCCAGTTGGTTTGCCATTACCATTCGGTACGTCTGCTGTATCTGGAAGTCCCACAGGGTCTTGGCCCGGTCATTCTCTACCATCTTTGGGGGTGTTTCCCACTTTGACCTTGGGGTTTCTGGCCCATACTCTGCACAGATGTTCCTGTACACTATTCCAGCCACTTGGTTATGACGCTCCATGTATCTATCTATCTATCTGTCTGTCTATCTATCTATCTATCTATCTATCTATCTATCTATCTATCTATCTATCTA